ATATCTTGACATGTACTTTCCTGCTTGACATAGCAACAAATTTAACTTCCAGATCTTGACATGTACTTTCCTGCTTCCATAGTTCCATAGTTCCATGTGTGTAGCAGACCAGTAACAAAATACTCATTGAATATGTTCCTAGGTACATGACAAGTCAAAAAATTAGTAGAAGTGTAGTGTTTAGGTTTCAGATTTAGCTTCACTTCAAAAAAAATATGTATGAACACTATATACAATCAGGTTTGGCTCAGGTTTAGCTTCACTTCACGAAAAATGGGGGCATTAAAAACTATATAGAAATAGAATCAACACCAACCCATTTGTTTTTGCAACCTGGTAGAAGTGTAGAAGGCTAGCAGAGTAGCAGCTTTCATCATTGCCAGAAATAAGTAAACAATTAATGTAAATGGGGGCATATGAAAGTGCATAGAATGATAGAAATAGAACCAACACAAGCTACCATCAATTTCATTACTTGGTGAAAACTATCATCATTGCCAGAAATATGGAACACTGGAACAAATAGTATACAGATACAATATCATATTCAAGTACTTCCAACAAAGTGCTAGTAGACAGTAGCAGGGACATAGTTTGGCTCAGATTAGCATTCCCTTCACTATTAATGGGGGCATTGAAACTATATAGAAATAGAATCAACACTAACTACCATTAATGTCATTACTTGGTGGAAGCTATCATCATTGCCATAAATATGGAACACTGGAACAAAAAGTATGCAGATACAATATTTGTTTTTTCATATATCATATATTCATATTCAAGTACTTCCAGCAAAGTGGTAGTAGCAGGGGCATAGTTTGGCTCAGATTTGCATTCACTTCACTATAAATGGGGGCATTGAAACTATATAGAAATAGAATCAACACCAGCTACCATTAATTTCATTACTTGGTGGAAGCTATCATCATTGTAATAAGTGTGGAATACTAGAACAAATAGTATAGAGTTACATTATCAAATTTAAGTAGTTCCAACAAAGTGAAAGTAGCAGGGGCAAAGTTTGACTCAAATTTGCATTCACTTCACTATTAATGGGGGCATTGAAACTATATATAAATAGAATCAACACCAACTACCATTAATTTCATTACTTGGTGGAAGCTATCATCATTGCCATAAATATGGAACACTGGAACAAATAGTATAGAGTGAAACAACATTACCATGTCTTGTTGTCACACACACTAATGAGGTGAAATTGTACCAGTGAATCAGCAACACTTCCAATTACCATCAAAGCAACATGGTTAAGCATTTACAACCGGGACATTGACAAAATCATAGCATTTCATTAGTGAAGTAACATATTACAACATATAAAAGATAAAGTATAAGTTTTACTACTATCTGATCAAGAGAAGGGCCTCCACCAACATTTCCTTCCGTCAATTCTGCATTGAAAACAAAATTAAGTTAACAATAACTTCAAATATAAATATTGAATACTAAAAATGTAAAAGTTTGTACCTGTTTCCAGCCTGTCTACTTCCTCAATATTTTCTTCAACTGACACAGTCTGGTTGGACATCCTCAACCAGTCTTGAGCACATATGAGTGCTTCTACAATTTTGGCACTCAATGAACTCCTAAAACAATCCAACACCCTTCCACTTGTACTAAAAGTGGACTCAGAAGCTACTGTGGAAATAGGATCAGCAAGAATGTCTCTTGCCATCTTAGATAGGATAGGAAACCTCTCACCATTTAGCTTCCACCATCGCATTGTCCTCCTCAAGAATGTTCTCACTCAAATACAGTTCAAGTTCATTTTTTTCAACCCTAAGAGGCCAATATCTTGTTTTTGCCTTTTCAATAAGGCTTTGAATTTAGAGACATGCCTACTTCCAGTTGACTCATATTGTAAGGAAACAGAATTTGGGGTTAATTGAGAGCTTCCACTGACTGAAACATCATAGTTTGTAACATAATCACCATACAACTTAATCATACCCAGCTTTATCTTTGCAAAGAATGCCTCACCTATATTATCCCCATACAAAACATTCAATTGATGTGGCGTGTATTCATATTTGTCTCTAGGGTCAAGCACATTTGCAAAGAAAATGAGCATGTTCATTTTTTCTGGATCACCCCAGTACTTATTTAGTTTGGATTTCATTCTAGTCCCCATTTTAGATACAGATTCAGTTTCAGAAGCAACCATCTCTTTGAGAACAAGGAACAGATCAGATATTGCAGAGAAAAAGGTATTTGTAGTGACATAAAGAGAGCCTGCAATCCTAAGTGTCATATCATAAATTTTTTTAAGAATGACCACCAAAGTTGCAATTGCAATCCATTCCCAAGCATCAGGACTCTCACTCCCCAGATCAACATGATAGGAACTCTCATTCTCCTCATAAGCTTCAAACACTTTTTCATTGGACATTGCAGATTTGAGCATTAAATAGGTAGAATTCCACCTAGTTGGGACATCTAGGTGCAATCCAGCTTTAGTTTCCATTCCAATCAAGTCTGAAATGTCCTTGAATTTTTGAAGCCTAGCAGGAGAATTTCTAACATACTTGACAACATCCCTGACTCTGTGAACAGAAGAATCACTTTCTTTTAAACCATCTTGGACAGCCAAATTAAGGATATGAGCAATACACCTCATATGAAGGTACTTAACTTTTACAGAAGAGGCACCCCAAGATAAAAGTTTTTTAAAAAAAAACCAATTGCAGTGTCATTACTGCTAGCATTATCAACAGTCACAATGAAGATAGATTTCAATCCCCAATCTACTAGGCAAGACTCTAGGGCTTTAACTAAGTACTCTCCTTTGTGGGAAGTCACAGGAACAAAGAAAATTATTTTTTTATTCAGCTTCCACTCATTATCAATGAAATGTGCAGTTATACACATGTAATTGATCCTTTGTACAGAGGTCTATGTGTCAGTTGTTATACTGACCCTTTGAGTGTGTTCCCTAAACAACTTTTTCAGACTTACTTTCTCATCTAAGAAGATTTGGTAGATGTCTCTAGCAATTGTCCATCTGGAAGGAATTTGGAACCTAGGACAAGCTACAGAGATAAACTACCTAAATCCTTGTATGTCCACAAATCTAAATGACAGCTCATCAATGATAAGCATTTCAGCAAGTGCTCTCCTAATTGCACCCTGATCAAACACCCCAGTCCCTAACACCCCAGTTTTTTTAGATGTTGGATTACACTGGACTGGTTGGAAAGTGAGAAGGGCTTGCCTAGCATCCTTTGAGGCAGGCAATTTCAGACAACCAAATATGTGATTTCTAAGGAAGTGCCATGCTTCTTAGACTGACAACAATATGTTTTAGCACAATGCATGCATTTTCCTTTGATAACAACACCATTACTATCTTTGATCTTAACAAACTGATCCCATATTTTAGATTTGGACTCTACCTCCATTCTCTTATTTCCAGGAACATTTGTCTGCTGTGTGCTGGTGTTAGCCCCAGCATCATTAGCTTCCACCATAGGTTCTTGGGAAACAAGAGTCAGAGGAGGTTGAGAACCAGATGCAGGTATGGTATTCATACATTCAACTTCCATTCTGATAAGTCATAGGAATATATAGTTCAAAAAAACTCAATGCAAGCTTCCAGATTGAACACAACATCATACATTCACATTAAAGTCTGGAACAATCAGCAAGCTGATCTACAGAAGGATATGAGCAGTTGGCTTATTCACTTCTCTACAGACTTAAAAGATACCAGTTCACTCTAACTACTCGTTTGAGTGTTTGAGTAGAAAAAAGGTAACCTCAACACTTGTCAGAACAGATCATCCATCATCTTTAGCTCTTTACTCAGCAAATTGTATTAACCAATAATCAGAAATTCAGAATATACAAAATATTTGTATGAAAGCATCATAATTCTGATGGCTCCATATTACAATTTACACATATTCAGAGAAATGGGCAGCTTCCAATATAATCACATATTCTCAGACATGACCAAAGCATCACAGATTGAACACAACATCATACATTCATACATTCACATTAAAGTCTGGAACAACCAGCAAGCTGATCTACAAAAGGATATAAGCAGTAGACTTATTCACTTCTCTATAGACTTAGAAGATACCCGTTCAGTATAACTACTCCTTTGAGTGTTTGAGTAGAAAAAGGCAACTTCAACACTTGTCAGAATAAATCAACCATCATCTTTACTCAGAGGCCATTTATATAATAATCTCAGAATCACATAGGCATCATCAAGGCATCACAGATTAATAGGTAGTTCATACAAAGGGTTTCACAGGCTGAATCAAGGGTTTCAAGCTTCCACCAACCACATAACACTTCATCTAAATAACACAACTAATTCATTTACAAAACTGATAACACATCACATTTAGGGATCAGGCTTCCACCAAAGCACATTTCAAAGCCAATTTTTCAGATCGGGAGATGCATGAAATGGTTAATCCAAGCGGACCAAGCATACAATTTAAGTATTTAACGTTTATACCTAAGAAAGATCAAAGAATTCTGATAATCGAATGGGTTGCAACTTGCAAGCTTCCACAAATCCACAAGGCCAGTACACTATAATCGGCTCCTACCAAGGCAGAGAGGCTAATACGTACAGACTACAGAGGTCGGATCATTACACATTTACAGGGAGTGAGGGACTAACGGACTACTGAAGAATGGTAAAAGCTGGATGGTAAAAGCTGGATGGTTAGAGAGAAGTCGGAGTAGGGGAGATGGTCAGAGGGAGTTGCGAGTGAAGAGTGGAGGCGCTGAAGCGGTAGGGTTGGGTTTAGGGCAAAATAATAAGTATATATACTTAGGGTAGTTCGGGTTTTCGGGCGGGTCGGGTAGCCATTTATAATACCCTACCCGTAACCCATAACCCTTAAAACATGGGCTGGGCTTTTCGGTTCGGGTTTTCGGGTGGGTTCGGGTTCTGCTCACAAAAAATCCTATTAGAGTAAAGCTCACAAGACCGAGCTAAAGTATATGCTGGCATGCTGCAATACTGAATATACATTTTACATGCTTAAAAGAACGAACAAGAAAGTTAGTAGCAAGCACCTAACCATCCCTTCCGAATTCCGATAGCTTGGACACGTTGAATGACGATAGGAAGCAACACTGATTTTCTGGGCGAGATTGAGCGCACGCCCAAAACTTCAACAAATGTGACTTCATCAACTTGCAAACAATGCTCTGTCTGCACTAGTGCATAGATTGGTTACAGTTGAACGTTACTGCTCAGAGCAAATGGCTCTTGGCTCTTTCTCTCTCCCACTGTTTCCTTCACGCAGACCAATTTCCACCCTCAGATCCCCATTGCTCTCCCCCCCGCTGCGCTTCAGGCTGCCACTCACTACTGCTATCGGCCCTGACGGCAAGTTCTACCCAACCCCATCAGACGACGACCCGCCAGAAGCTCCCGAGGATTCCATGCACGGAGTCAGTAAGTTCCAGCAGATCCACCGCCAAGCTGCCCGAGCTAGAAAGCAGCAGGAGGAGCGGGCTAAGAACGAGCAGTCCATTTTTCTCAACGCCATCGCTGACGTTGAGGACTCGCCCGACGACCCTCTTTTGGACGACGGCCAAGACGATTTCTTCGGTGAAATTGACAAAGCCATTGCTTTGAAAAGAAAGGAGTTTGTGAAGCAAGGTCTCTTGAAGCCCAATCCAAAGAAGGCCACCCCTCCAGAATTAGAAGTCATCGACGAGCTGGATCCAGAGGAGGTGATCGATATGGATGAAATCAGAGAGCTTACTGGGCTGACTGAGATATCAGCAGGCGGTGCTGAGAGTCAAGAGCAGAGCACCCAAAACAAGGTGAAAGGCGAATTTTCTGATTTATCATCATTTCACATTGATTTTGACAATTTCAGTAAAACTAGGCCAAGAATCGTAGAACCCACTTTTAGGATGAGTTTGGCTGAACTTTTAGATGAGAGCAAAATAGTGCCCATTTCAGTGTATGGGGATATAGATGTGGAAATCACTGGGGTCCAGCACGACTCTAGGTTGGTTGAGAGCGGGGATTTGTATGTGTGTTGTACAGGGAGGACGGAGAAGGCTGATGATGATATGCACGTATACTTATCTGAGGCTAGCAAGAGAGGAGCTTCTGCTATAGTAGCTAGTAAAGAAGTTGTTGATGTTGGGCATAACAAAGCGTTGGTCATTGTAGATGACACTGATGCGGCTCTTCCCATCTTGTCGGCTATCTTTTATAGGCACCCGTCTAAGAATATGTCTGTGATTGGCATCACAGGAAGTAATGGCAAGACTGCTACCTCATACTTGATTAAGTCATTGTATGAAGCTATGGGGTTAAGGACTGGGATGCTGAGCTCAGTGGCTTACTATATTCACGGAGATAATAAGATGGAGGATATAGAGCCCCCAATTGCAACCTCTGATTCTCATTTGGTTCAGAAGTTGATGGCTAAGATGTTGCATAATGGAACAGAGACTTTAGTGATGGATGCTTCTGGTAGTTGTGATGAACTGGTCGATTTTGATATTGCTGTTTTTACAAATCTTACTCAGGACCATTTGGATGATTTCCACAACGAAGATGATGATGATGAGGAGTTGAAGCATAGGAGGAATGCTATTGCTGAATTGTTTACAAGGATGGTTGACCCTGAGAGACACCGCAAAGTGGTGAATATCGATGATCCAAATGCGGCATTTTTCATATCACAAGGAAATCTTAGTGTGCCGGTCGTGACCTTTGCAGTGGAGAACAAAAAGGCTGATGTACACCCCTTGAAATTTGAGTTGTCTCTATTTGAGACAACAGTATTGGTGAACACACCTAAGGGCATATTGGAGATTTCTTCCGGATTGCTCGGGCGGCGAAGTGTCTATAGCATACTTGCAGCTGTGGCGGTTGGTGTTGCCGTCGGGGCACCTTTAGAGGACATTGTTAAAGGTGTCGAAGAGGTCGATGTGGTTCCTGGTAGGTGTGAATTGATTGACGAGGAACAAGCTTATGGAGTTATTGTGGATCATGCTCATACTCCTCGTTCGTTATCTACACTTCTTGATTATGTTAGAGAGCTAAGTCCACGGAGGATTATCACTGGTATGCGTTTTGTTGCTTAATGGTAGGGTATTTATCACTTGCTTTCATTTCGGTGCTTTTTTGTGCTAATAAGTACGGAGTAACTGAATTTATGTTGACATTAGCCTCCGGTAAGTGGAATTCCAAAAACAATGGGTAAGTTCACATGTAATGCTTTATAACTTAATTGTATAGCTATACGTGAGTATATTTTAAAGAGATGTTTATTTTGTGCACAATCAGCCGTTAATTTTATTTTTTATTTTTTTTACAAAAAAAAACATTTTTTTTTGTATATGTAACTTAATGTAATGAAAAAAGTTTTTGACGTGAAAAATCTCATAAATATCAAATGTTTACAACATGGGTGTAAATATTTGAATACATATTTGTAGCAAAAATAGTTGAATGATACATGTAATCTTCACTGAAAAATTATTCCTTTACTCTATTGGGGAAAAAATAAATTTTCTGTGTTATTATTCTTTTATTTTATCTTCTAGGACTAAGGTTTGGATGTTGTTGTATTCTTTTTTTATTTTATCACCACCACCACAACAACAACATCCAAGCCTTATATTTTATCACGCGTGAGCAAAACTGTTTCATCTTCTATAGACTGACAATAATCTTATTGGTTTATTGGCTAAAGTATTTGGCTGTGCTGGTGAGAGTGATAGGGGGAAGAGGCCCATGATGACAAAAATAGCTACTGATAAGAGTGATATAACAATTTTGACATCTGACAATCCAAAGAATGAAGATCCGCGTAAGTTATCATCATTGGGAGGATGAATGAACATAACCTAGCTTACACCAAATTCTTCTAAATGTGCACAGTATACTGATAATGGCTCCCTTGTTTTTGGATGTGTTATTCCCTGGGCAGTGGACATCTTGGATGACATGTTGGCTGGTGTAGGGTGGAGTATGCAGGATTATTTGAAATATGGAGAGAATGATTATTACCCACCACTCCCTAATGGCCATAGACTCTTCCTTCATGATATCAGAAGTGTAGCTGTACGCTGTGCAGTTGCAATGGGTGAGGATGGTGACATGGTTGTAAGTTCCATTTGTTGTAGCCCGCTTCTTCATGAGTTCTCTTATTTATGTTGAAAACAACAACAAAAGACATCCCTTATGTTTATTACTATAGTAGATGGATAAAGGGTTTTAGTATCATGTTTTTTTTTGTAAAACAATAAAGGTTATTAGCTTTAATAAATAAAAACCTAGAAGCCAATTTCTTAAATGATGCAGGAGATAGCTTTTTAAGCAAGAGCTTACTCTATCATGTTCCAAACTAAGCTCTAACAAACACACACTTAGTGTTGGACTAAATATAGTACTACCTCCATCCCGTTCAAAGGTTTCCATTACACAATGAAATATGCCAATTCGATTATTTTTTGAGAAATAGTTTTGACGAGTATATAATATAATGGGGTTATTAATGATAATTGTGATGTTATAGATGTATTATTTTTAATATTTGATGATTAAATTGTCATGTAAGAGTGTTAATTGTTTCCTAAAATAGAAATGAGAACCTTAACTTTTGAATGAGACGGAGGGAGTAGCTGACAGGTTAGCATAAGTTAACTTATAGTACTAAAAGTTGAAAACAGTTTAGAATAAGAAAGAGATTTGCCATGGAATTATATAAACGATAATCTCATAGAGCTTATTTGAAAAAATATTCAAAAGAAGCGTATAAAAATGTGAAATAAGCCTTTTTAAGGTTATAATGAAATAAGCTCCTCCTACTCCTTGTAACCTCCCTTTTCTTCTAATAAATTGGTGAGGTGTTCCCTGGCCCTCACCCCGAAATTCATGGGTTTTGGAAACTCACCAGGTATTTGAAAAAAAAAAGTAATGAAATAAGCTCCTCCAACCAAACAAATCCTTATTAAAGCTTGGGGGGCATATGCCTCTCTCGGTTCATCACTGCAATTGCAGGTAGTTGCTGGTAAAGGCCATGAGACGTACCAAGTAGAAGGTGATAAGAAAGAGTTCTTTGACGACAGGGAAGAATGTAGAGAAGCCCTGCAGTATGTTGCTGAGCTTCATCAAGCTGGGATTGACACTAGTGAATTCCCATGGCGGTATCTTTCTATCATCCATCCCCCCCATATTATGTCACCCCATTTTTACTGTGCTGAAGCGTCAGAAGTAATTTTCTTGTGCTTGATTTTATTTTGGAAAATGCAAGGGAAATGTTATATGAATAGTTTTGGCTTATATACATTTCTCAGTCTTAACAGGCACAAAAATGAGAATCAACAAATATCTATAATAAAGTCATTGAGTTCTAGCATGTATTTTATTTCCACACAATTTCTTTCCTTAAATTTTCTCTAATATTTGATAGAGTCCAAACAGACTCCACCACGAATGTCTTTGCAAAACAAAATTAAAGTAAAAAGGAAAGTTGCTTTGATCATGCAACAGGCTGCCAGAGAGCCATTGATATGAGGCAGGAAAGTTGCTGGATCTCGACGACGAGCAGGGAGAGAGAGAGAGCTTGGTAATGAAACTGGAGCCATGAGCAATCGTGTAATGGACGGTTTTGAAAATCAAGGAGGAAAAGGCGATTTCCTTGAGGAAGTGTGGTTTATGATGTGCTTGAAAATTTAACAACTCATTGTGCATGGTTTCAAGAAAGTTTCAGGTGATTTTTCTATAGCTTGTTATTTGCAGCAAATGTTTCGTTAAAAGTCTATGTTTTTTGTTGCAGATTTAACAATGTTGCTGTACAACTGCCCAAATCAAAGAAATGGAAGTACTAATAGAATAAATATGTGATTTGTGGGTGATACTCCGTGCGTCCTTTGTAAACGCCAACAAGATTTCCATTGTTGACGAATAAAGAAGCTAATATCGCTATCACACAAATGATATTGTTTAGGGGTCCTAAACTTATGTTGACATGAAATGTATGTTCTCTTCCCCAAGTACTGACGAGATACGGGATAGAGAATGCGGGAGAAGCACGTAAATATTCAAAAACATAAAGATACAATTCATATTTTTATATACGTTTCCGTGCGTGTATACATTTTTCCACACACACACACGTGCATATAAATAGCATCAATTTTTTTGAATGGATAAATACCATCAATATGTTCATATTTAGAAATTAGTATATATTACTATAAAATATAAACATAAAATGCAATCCATTTTAATAATAAATTGCATTATCAAACATCACAAGTTCACAACGCTCACTGAGAAGAAATCTCATAAATCCACTAAAGAGTTGAATAATAGACACATTTTTTCATCATGAAATCCCTTGGGAAAAATTGGATATCCAAAGCTTTCGTTAATTAGGGAAATGAGTTTCAAAATTCTTTTTGATTACGCAAACAGTCCTAAAATGGGAATTTAAGGTTTCAGTTTTCAATTTATCTAAACCCCACACTATTCTTTACATTCGTTTTTAAGAACATTTAATTTTGAAAATCAAATTTAAATAAATAAATACATAATTGTTTCAAGGGATAATTTGAATTTGCACCCCATTTTATTGTCCAAATTGGACTTCGCACTTTGTTTTTTAAAATATTTGTTTTTCCACCCCAACCCCATATGAAAATACAAAAATGCCCCTCCATTAACAATTCTGTTGACCTTTAACATATTCCTGATAGAGGGACATTTTTGTCTTTTCATAAGGGGTTGGGGTGCAAATATAAAGATCTTTAAAAACGGGGTGCAAAGTCCAATTTAGACAATAAAATAGGATGCAAACTCAAATTATCCCTTGTTTCAAATAAAACTGTTTTCACATTTTCTTAATTCTTTATAGCTATTTGAAACACTTGATTTATCAAATACTCTCTTTGTCCTTTAAAACTTTGTCAATTTTCTTTTTTGGATGTCCCATTAACTTTGTGAATTTCCCTCACAAGTAATGAGTTTGTGGTTCCAGTTAATTTTCTCTCTTCTGTACAAATTTCAACCACAAGTTTTTTATTTTATTAATCCCTGTGCCGGTCAAACTTGGCAAAGTTAAGAATGGAGGGAGTAGTTTTTACATGTTAGGACTTGAGACAACATATTAATCACTACAGTTCGTACAACTAAATATTAATATTCCTCATGTTTATCCAAAAAAAGATATTGATATACTAGTATCAAAAACACAAATAGGGGTGGAACGGTCACCGGCCATGGACCAGGACCACTCAGGGTAAAGCTGCACCAGACATGGGGCTGCTTTTCTGGTCCTGAATCAAGGCCGGAACCGGATTGTGCGGGCAATGGTATCTGGTCCCATGTTCGTTTTTTTGGGATAGAATGGGCGGTCCGATTCCAATTTGGTCCCAACGGCTAGTTTCATTTTCTTTTATTTTTCCCATTGGTTGTAGTCCAACAATCCTAAATGGATAATATGACCGTTTGGAGGTGGGGGTGGGAGAGGGTGGGTGGGGTAAAAAAAGACTATAAATACACTTCAACTATCTCAATACCTATCTTCCTCATTTTACTATCTACACTACTATTACTACTACTACTACTACTCTCTTATCCATTCATATTATTCAATAATCATATTATTCCATTCATAATGTCAGGCTCTAGAAAGTCTATTTATTTGGATAGTCGATCACATAATCGTAAGAAAGATGTTTTTAATTAATTTTTCTACTTTCCAAAATCGTGGAGAACGCCCCATAGGATCAACATTTTCATCCTGAGCCTGAGATACAAATGATTTTTGGCAAACGAGGTATGATCCTAAGGACGCAATGACTAATGAGGAGATCGATGGAGCAACTTCTATTACAACACCGAGGGCGGCTTCTAGCACAAGATAACATTCTAGAAGTTTAGAAGTTCATGAAGAAGTCTCGGTAGACGACGATTCACAAGGAGGAGGTGCCGCCGACGATGAGTAGGAGCAGCGCGCACTGGCTCTTCCTCACAAGTAAAAAATGGTAAGTTTAAAAAACAATTAAGACCCGACTTGTTTATGTTTCATTTTACAAAAAAGAATCTCGAAGATGACATATGGCATGCAACTTGCAATTACTGTCAAGCTGAGGTAAGCATGGGTGTAGCCGGGGGCTATGGCACAAGGAGAAGGCATTTGTATGGGAGACACCCCATGGAGGCGGCGAGGACAAGGAGAAGTGGACACAAACAAACATGTCAAGGTTTGCAAATTCTCAACCTTTTATTAACTTTGTTTATAACAATGAAGAACATAAAAAAAGCAAAGTCTGAATTAATTGTTGAATGAGATTTGTGTAATCTGAGAGTATTGCCTTACGATAGTATGCTCAAGGTTCACTAAATTCTCAATCTAGCCATTGGAAATTATTCTAGAAGAACTATTAAAAAGGAAGTTGCCAAACAATATAATCTTGAAAAGGATAGATTAGTCAACTTTTTGCTCTTTCCCCGACCACCTTACTACTTGTACTGATATTTGGAAGAATAAGTACCATCACTTATATTACTAAGGTGTAACTGTGCATTATATTGATAATTATTGGGTAATGCATAAGAGGATGACCGGTTTTAGTGAATTTCTTGATAACCATAATGATGATAATCGTTGAAACTAATTAATTCAATACAAAATAATAAATAAATGTATAAAATCTATATGATCTAATCTGAAAGAGAGAAAACAACGGGACTTGTTGAGCTATCCAAACCACTATCATTTTATTAATACACTCTTCAGTCTTCACCATTTACATTGTACAAGAGTTCACCCATTAATGGAGTTCTTGAGCTATTCTAAAGAGAAGTGGGAGGGCAGAGAAGGAGACTAACTAGAGAGAGAAAAGTGGATCCCAAAACATGGAGGGAAAACCTCCTATAAATTTAAAGAGGGAGGGGGTTCAAATAAACCCTAATGGGCCGCATGGGCCGAAATGGGCCACATGGACCGGATGGGCCAAAATGGGTCTCACTTATCAAGCTCCGTACTGGGGTTATGCATTGGGCTCATGAACAGTAGTAGGCCGGGATAATATATCTCAACAATAATATTTACTCCCTCCGTCCCATTTATATTGTCCCGTTTTACCTTTTCGAGAAGTCCCACTTAAATTGTCTCATACCATATTTGGCAAATTTTGTGTGGCTCTAAACCATTCTTACTTTATTCTTACTTTATCAATTAATATCAACCACACAAACTCACTTTTCTTAATAACCGTGTCACCCTCTTCCGTCCCAATATAAATGGGACAGAGGTAGTATATTTTAATTGAAAGAATTTTAGCTAGATAAAATGCAACTGAAAAGGTATTTACTTTTGGATTTGATAATGCAAGAATAATACTATTGCTATGCCTACATCACATGAGTTCTTGTGGTCCTTCAACTAATATAATTAGATTTTTCATCAACGATTTGCATGTACGTCATATTTTAAATTTGTGTTTCCAAGACGGCTTAACCACATTGGGTCAAGTAATGGGAATATAAAAAGAGGAATTAAACTTATTTGGCCGGGGTGATAACATCGTTAAACAACGTTGGAAAATTTGTTTAAGATCCTTATGTATTAAATATTGTGCATTTCCCAAAGTTTTCACTAAGTAGGACTAACCATTCCATTTTTACCCTCAATTGAATTAATTGCCCCCTAGTTTTCTTGCACAACCAAGACAGTCCGTTGACAACGGGGTAGTCCGGTGGTGGCGACAGCGGCGGCGAACTCCAGCGGCAGTTTCTTCATTGGAAGGGACTATCTCGATTGTTCTTGGAGAGGAGAGTCCAAGGAATGTAATGCTAGAAAAGCCGAGTGCTATGAAAGGATCTGCTCTTGTGAAAAGATGGGAAAATCAAAACAAGAACAAGGATGGCCAACCGATGAGTGTAGCAACGGAAAACTCAAGAAAGGAAAATAGAGATACGTTATGTTGCACTTACTGCAAGAAGCCGAGACATATTAGAGAAAATTGTTGGAAGCTGAATGGAAAACCTCCAAGCAGCGAGTGGGGAACGAGTGGGGAACTAGAGGGAGACAGCAAAGACCTCAAACTCATCTCATGGAACAACTGAAAGTTGAAGAGAAACCTGGCAGCAAAGGCGATGAGGTAAGGTTCAAAGAGGATGAGATTGAAAAGTTACGAAGTCTATTGAGCTCTCTTGAAAAACCATCTGGGGCTAGTTCTTTGGTTCTCACAGGTAAATCAATGACCTCTTGTGGCTTGCACACATCTGGAATTTTGTCTGATGATTCTTGGATATTAGATTCTGGTGCCACAGACCACATGACACATTCCTCACATTTTTTTCACACATATAATCCTTGTCCAAGTAATAGAAAGATTATTGTTGCAAATGGAGAATTAGCGATTGTGGCAGGTTTAGGAGAAGTCTATATAAGTCCCTCTGTGGTTCTTAAAAATGTTCTACATGTGCCCAAGTTATCAGCAAATCTTATTTCTATTCAAAAACTCATGACTGATCTTCAGTGTTGTGCAACATTTTTCTTGTCTCATTGTGTTCTACAGGATCGGGTCTCGGGGAGGAAGATTGGACTTGCTAAGGAAAGAAATGGTCTGTATCACTTGGAGATTCCAAATAAAACCACCAGTAACTTGAATGTGTCTCTTCTCAGTTCTTCCAAAAAAGAAACTATCTGGCTTCTTCACTACCGTCTTGGTCATCCGTCCTTTAGAGTCTTACAAATTATGTTTCTACAATTATTCTTAGGTTTTAATATTTCTGAGTTTCATTGTGATGTTTGTGAACTAGCAAAACATGTTCGTGCCCCATTCCTTATCAGTAATAAAAGAAGTGTTCTTCCTTTTCAATTGATCCATAGTGATATTTGGGGTCCATCTTCTATTTCTAATGTTTCGGGGGCTTGGTGGTTTGTTTCATTAATTGATGATTGCTCACGTGTAACGTGGTCGTTTTTAATGATACAAAAATCTGATGTCAGTAATATCATTCCCAGCTTTCATTCCATGATCCAAAATCAATTTGGGGTAAAAATAAAAACCTTTAGGTCAGACAATGCTAAGGATTATTTCAATCAGGTTTTATCACCTTATTTTAAAAAAGAAGGGATTATTCACACTTCTTCCTGTGTGGAAACAC